CCGCTTTCCCGGCTGGGATTCTGAAGATCCGCGCTTGTTCCACCGGGGATGGTGAGTGTTGCCCGCGGCAGCCGCTGTCGCAGGGTCGCGGCCCTGGAGGACGAGTTTCTGGGTGGCACGGACCGAGAGGCGGACAGCCCCCGGGTCCTGGGCCCAGGGCTGGGGAGGCGGCCCCCGGAATGGACTTCGGATCGTGTGTCTTCGCGCTTCGGGGAGCGCAGAATGCGAGGACACGTTCCGGTGGCAGCATTGGGAATGGTCGGCGGGAGGGAAGAGCCTGCTGGAAATCGCTGATGGAGCTCCCCGTAAGGCAGTCGGTAAACTTCCGAGACACCCGCCCCCTCCTCACCCCCGCCCCAGACTCGTTTCTGTTACTTATCACGTGCTGTGCAAATCGGCCGGAAGCAGTCTGTCCTGTGTGACCTAGAGTGGCCTAAAGCACAGGGGTGCGGGGCGGGGGTGGGGGCCTGGGACTCTCGGGCGCTAGGATATTCTTGGGTGGGGGGGGGTGATGGAAATGTTCTTCCGGGGAGAACACAGACATTCCACACAGCGATTTGGTGAGGTCGCGAGCGTACATACGTGTGTCAGAGATCATCGACTGTGCGTTAAACCAGTTCATTTTATTGTGCCTAACGTCAACCGCAAGAATTTTTTTTTTTTACAAAATCTGCCCGAATAGGTGAGCCTTCTCCCGAATTGCCAGGAAACTTGGCGCTGGCATTCTGACGCACCGCCGCGGACTTTTCCATGAACTTTCGTTCTGTGAACGGAGCCCTGTTGTCTCCAACCCCCAGTGGCCTCAGATACACGACTTCCGAGCTTGCATTCCAAGTTGCCCTGAATGGACCTGGTGGACGGGGTGATCTCTGCGACGTGTTTTGGTAGCTCCCTGGTCTGGTCACGCATGTGTTTCAAAGCACATTTCCTTGGGCTGGGTTTCTTCCCATCCCGGGAGAGGTGACTGTTAACAGACCCATCCCTTCATCCCACCTTCTAGATGGATCCCGCGGCTCCTGGGAAAGACGGGGTGTCTTGGCAGAGGATTCTAGACCAAGAAGTGCATGTGTGAAAGGATCTCAGGCTTCAGAATTCTGGCCCCAAAGAGAAAACTCGGTTATCTCACAAGCACAGCCGGCAGGGGGTGGGAGCCGGCCAGGCCGATGCCGGAGAGGCGTTCTGTTTGGTCTTACGAAGACAGGCCAGGAAGACGCAAAGAGGCCTCAGCTCTCAGGCTGTGTGTTGTGCTGTGTGCCGGGCACAAGTCCCCAGCTGCCAGCTGCCAGCTGCCCAGGCCTGGGTTGCGCCCTCCTTTGGTCTCAGGCGCTGGATTGTGGGCTCCAACAAGGCCAGTCTGGGTTGTTCTTGGACTGTGATGGGCCTGTCCTGTCTAGTCCATGTGGTATCCCCGGGGCCCCTACTGCCGGTGCTTTGCTGGTGGGAACACAGAGGCCAGCGGCCTGGGTTCCAGGGCAAGCACGTGGCCACCAGAGCGGTGGGATTGTGACTGGGGATCCACCCTGGGTGCGAGCAGCCTGTCCCTGGGAGCCCAGCTGTGCAGATTAAATGAGCTGGTGGAGGTTTTAGCCCAGGGCCCACTGCACATAGCAGGTCCCCTGCGAATGGCAATCTGTGCCCTGCTCGCCAGGCTGGGATTGGTTCTTTCCTTGTCCCTCCTTCCTGGCCACCCTGTTCCCTCTTACAAGGGACACTTTGCCCCTGCTCCAGAGGCCTGTGCTGGATCTGTGAGAAAACCCAAGCCCACGGCTTCCGGGTGGCAGTACCCTGTCTCCCTGAGGCTTGCTCTTGACTTTGCACATTTGGCCCTGTTTCTCACGGGCATCATCCAGGAGTGTGTTTGTCCAGACAGCTGTGGCGGGGGGGCACCGAAAGCAGGGCCCCACAGCCCAACCCTGGTGGCTCTGCCGTCCTCGCCCTGCATATCCAGTGGTGGTAGCAAGTTGTGCTTAGTAACAATTGGAGTGGCAGGGAGACCAGTGTTTGTTCCTTGTGGGGCCACCTACGTGTTCCTTAGTAGGGATGGCGATATGCACCCCCTGAATTCGACTCCTGCGCAGTGGTCAGGGGAGGGCGGTTAGACCCCTTGCTCCAAAGAGTTCCGTGGTGGAGATATGTGATGCTCTGGTCCCTCTGCTTCCTGACTTTCCCAGACACCAGAAAGAAGGATGCTGGTGGTGGTCCCGGGTGAGCTGCCTTTGGTGGGGGACTGAAGAGGCTTCTGTGCCCCACCCCTGCAGCCAGCTCCCTGGGCCCTTTTGTAACTCCATACCCAAGGCGGGAGGAGGAGTGAGCCCTTCTCTTCTGCTCCTGCCTCTCCAAGAGCACAGATGGGAGGACGTCCGGGGTGTGGACAGAATGTGCTGGCAATCCCCATGTGGCTGGGGACTGGATGGGGGAGGAGAAGCCTTACTCCCAGGGAAGATTGTAGGGATCCGCACCTGAGGAGGGTCCAGAGGCTGGGCAGGGCCGATCCTGGGGTTCACCCCCCATCCTCCCAGCTCACTTCCCACTAAGCACAGCCAGATGTGTATTCTTGTGGGGCTCCAGCCCCTCCCCGACCTCTAGGTCCTGCAGTGAGTGAGGCTGCCCTCCCGCCCACTGGGCTGGGGTTCTAAGCTGCTGCAGCTGGGCCCAGGCAAGGAGGTCAGTTCATGCTCCCAGAGGGGTGGCGGGGGGGTAGCTTCTGGCACTAGACTCAGGGCCAGAGGCCTAGGGTGAGAGCTCCTGAGGAAGAGGTGAACCCCCAGGGACTCGGATTCACTGGGTCCCAAGACAGTGGCTCCTCAGAGGCCCCCTTGTCCGTCTTCAGGACTAGGAGGCATTTCTTGCCAGTGGAGGCCTGCTGGTAGAAGCTTTCCCATTGAATGGATCCCGCCCCTCGTATGTGTCCTCAGGACCTGACTTGGCTTCTTTGAGTCCCCAGAAGTGTCAGAAGTAGGCTTTTTTGGGATTCTTGGACTGGCTTGCGGGTGTGGGGGGATGGGTCAGGAGGTGGGGGAAGTGTGCGAGGACGGGGAGGGTGCACCCCATGCTGGGAGTGGGAGAGGCCGGCGCCCCGGTCTCTGCTATCTGAAGCTCTTCTGCCTCCAGATACTCGGGGTTCTCTCTCTGCAGAACAGGGACCTTGATGGAGGAGCCGCTGGGCCTGTTGGAATGGGGAGCACAGGAGCAGAGGCCTGGAGAGGCCAGGAGGAGCGAGTCCACCACCTGGGGATTGGTCGCTAAGAAATGCATTTGGGGGTCAGCCCACCCCAGGGTGGTCCTTCAGCCCTTGCTCTGGGTTGACCAGGGTAAGGGAGAGCAAGTTCAGGGTCTGCAGGTGGAATGCCAGGCGCCACCTGGGCCAGCAGGAGAGGCGGGAGGTACTGCCACACCCTGGGTGGGCAGGCAGGTGGTTCTGTTAGCCAGCTCCCTTCCGGCCCTCTCCCTGCTTTCTGCAGATGGGGCCTTCCCCCAGCCTGGGCCACTGGTGCCTCTGCCCTGGTCTGTCCTTGGGCCTATGTAATGAGCAGGTTCCCCCAGAGCTTCCCTGCCATGGGGCTGGGGTCCCAGGCTGGACACCTGGAACCCAAGAAGGGCCTCTTCGGGGACTGGCTGGAGGTGGGCAGGGGGCAGTCAGGGAGCCTCTGGCCCGGCCCTAGTTGAGCTGTCTCTTGGGAGGGGCTCCAGCCTATTGCTGGGCATTGGGGAGGTGCCAAGTTCAGGGAGGCCAGCCCCAGCCCCACTCAGAGAGGGTGGGAGAGTGAGGGGCATTCTGGACAGGTAGCAGGAGGAGAAGCAGCAGCCGTACCCAGGGAGCCTCTGTGTGGACACGCTGTGTTCCACGACAGGACCTGTATTAAGCAGCACATGAAAACTGTTTCCAGGGGGACCAGAGAGCCCTGAATGTGTGAGAAAGGGCATAGGCTTTAGCCAAGAGGACAGGGTGGCTGACCAAAGCTCCATTAGGCAGAGGGGTGGTTACCCTATCAGGAGAGGGACCACTCCAGAGGTGTAGACGGACCATCTGGGTGAGGGAGCACCCCAGAGGTGTAGACGGATCATCCAGGAGAGGAGCACAAATGCCAGAGTACAGAGCAGGTTGGGTGGGTCGGGCATAGCTTGGAAAGGCTACCATCTGGGCTGCTCATCGCCGACGGGGCCTCCCTGTGGAGCAGGTGCAGACAGGACAGAAGGCAGGAAGCCTTGCTCAGTGCATGATATAAAACGTTTATTGATACACATTTATTGTCTTCTATAAAACTTGCATTGGCTACATGGGGCCCTTGTGCTTGGAGGTGGGGTGGGGTGGCCAGGTAGAGCCAGGGCCCACTCCTGGGTGGGGACTGGAGCCCAGAGACTCCTGGACAGTGGGCCGAGGTTCGTGGACCAGGTGCACAGCAGCATGGACATGCTGTGCTCTGGGAGGCTGCCCAGGGGCTGGCCCGCAGGGAGCCGGAAATGAGATTGACCTGCTCCAGCTGCCCGAGGCCGCTTCCCATCTAGCTGCTTGCCATGATCGGAAACTCCCCCATGAAAGTTACCAAAGGATTCAGGGCAGGGATGTTGGGTGCCGAAGGTTGGAACTACAAGGCAGGTTAGCCAGAACTCTCTTCCAGATAGCACCTTCGCGTTCAGGTTGGCTTGCCAGTACTGCCTCGAGGGGGCGGAACGGAGAGAACAGGTGCCCTGACGGGGGCAAAGCTACAGCCCCAAAGGGGGACAGTGGTGCCGGCTACATTGTTTGCAAGGAGGCCTGATTGAAAGGGGTAGGAGGGGGATGGGGCTGGGTGACCCCTCCGTCCCCTCCTTTCCCGACCAGCTTCTGGCCATGGAGGAGGATGGCGGGGGAAGCCTGTCCTGGCCAGGGGGCCTGCACGCAGGTGGCTGCTCGGTCTCCCAGCCAGCCACCCCAGAGCCTCCAGCCCAAGGAGAAGGAGGCACGAGGAGCCAGAGCAGACCTTCCTCCTTGCGCTCGGGCACTGTGGCAGCGGCCCCTGCCGCCCAGCCGGCACCGGCCTCTCAGGATGCGTTCCTGGTCGGGCACTGCATCTCCATGGTGACCGTGTTGGGCGTGCTGCCCCCGGCTTCCCCCAGCTCGGCACCGTCCCGCAGGGCCCGCTGGAAGACCACCCGGAGAGGCTCCCACAGTCGCTGGGACTTGTCCCTTCCCGCCAGGAAGTAGACGACGGGCTTGGCGCTGCTGTGGATGCAGATGCAGAGGTCGGTGACGTACTCGGGGAAGGGGGCCGGGATCTGGAAGACCCAGAAGAGGAACCAGTCGATCCCCAGGTAGATGGAGGACACGAGAAACACGGACACCATGGCCAGGACGACGTGGTTGAGCTTGGCAGAGCGCTGGCGCCGCCCGGCCCGGCACTCCACGTGCAGGATGAGCAGCAGGCAGGGCAGCACCATGAGCGGGCAGAAGACGAGGAAGAGCAGGATGCCCAGGAAGGTGTCCATGCGCCCGCAGGCGCTGCCGGAGCCCCGCGGGGCCAGGAACACGCAGCAGTAGTGGTGGACGCCGGTGACCAGGAGCGACAGGGTCCAGAGCAGGGCGCACACCACGGCCGACAGGCGCTTGGGCCGGCGGCGCCAGTACCAGACGGGGAGGACGACGCACAGGCAGCGCTCCGAGCTCACGGCGGGCAGGAGGCTCACGCCGGCCACGAACGTGCAGAGCCCCACGACCCTGGTCACGGCGCGGACGTAGTCGGCGAACGTGCCCACGAAGCCGCCCGTGTTCAGGACGGAGAACACAGCCTTGCTGAGGAGGTAGCCGACGTCGGCGCCGGCCAGGTGCAGGAAGTACACGGAGAAGGGGCTCCGCTTGATGGAGAAGCCAAAAAACCAGAGGACCAGCCCGTTGCCCACCAGGCCGCACAGACAGAGGAGCAGGAAGACGTAGTTCATGACGGCGGGCGGCGGCAGCATGGTGATCTGTTCGATGGTCAGGAAGCCGCGGATGTACAGCTCGGGGGCCCCGCTCACGTCTGGACACAGCTGGGCGGGCGCAGAGGGGGAGACACCTGTGATGCGGCCCGGGCCCCACCCCCAGACCTGCACCCGTGTCCCGGCTGGTCACGGGGCGAAGCCAATGAGCTGGCTGGGACTAGAGCAGAAGACAGCCCTGCTCCCTCCTGGTGCCCCGCTCGGTGTCCCCAGGTCTGCAGCTCGCGGCCTGGAGGAGCGGGAGCGGGGACGGTCAGACGGAATAGAGGCCCGGGACGGCCCCCCTGGGAAGAGACTCTGGTCCAAAGGTGTCTGTATCACGAAAGATACGAACAACGGAAGAACCTTTCCAGGTTGAGGGACCGTGCCGAGCCATGGCCAGTAGGTACGACACCTGGATTTCAGAGCGGCCCTACGGGTCGCTGTGAAGGCTCTTAGCGGGGTGACGGGGAAGCGCTTGTCTGGACCGGGTATCCTCGTGCTGCACCAGCGTTAGATTTTCTGAGTCGGAAGCTGCCCTGCGGCCCTGTACCAGAAGCTCCTTGTTCTCGGAGGCCCCAGGCCACTCGGGGGTAAAAGGGGGCTTGATGTCTGCCATTTACTTCCCAACAGTTCTGGGAAAGAGTCTGTCGTGGGAGGCGTCGAGAGAAAACACAGGCGGCAAAGGCTACCTGCTGCTGAAGGACACACACGTCCGCACTGCACTGTCTGTGCAAGTTTTCTGTGCATTTGCCAGTTTTCACACCAAAATGTGAAAATATTTATTTTTAAAAAATAGAATAAAATAATTGAGAAGGTGGACCCTGGCCCTCACTGGAGTGGGAGCTTGTCCCGTGGCGGGATCAGAGAGACCGAGGGATGTAGAAGTGGTTCCCTGCAGGGCTGGGGTGACCCTGGGTGTCTGGATTGTGAGGGATCTGGGTGCGGCCCAGGCCCCCCCACCCAGGGAGGTGGAGACTTGTGGCACTCTGGGGAGGCACTCTGATGCTCGAACAGTCTGGCCGACCGAGCGCACGGGGCTATCTTGCCTACAGGGTCTGGGCTGGGGATGAATGTGTGAACCTGGCCCTGGAGCAAGTCCCTGGTTTGGGGGGCATGCACACGAGAGCACCTGTCCCGAGCAAAGTGGGCAGCTGCTCTGTTCCAGCTGGTGGGTGCTGGGGGGCGGGAAGGGGGACAGTTGAAATAGGACCATGGGCTGAGTGGCCCGTCCGTCATCCTTTCCCCCATTCCCAGAGAAGCCAGAAAACCCTAGATCGTAATGTGAACTCCCCTGATCTTTAAATGTTTGCATGTAAAAACATCGTGTGGGCCAAGCATAACACATCCACAAGCTGGATTCCTTCGCAGGCTGTCACTTTGACCTCCCATTCCAAGCGACAGGGCTGCTCAGAGCTCCATCACGCCCCTCCTTCAGCTGGGCAGACGTCACTAGTCCGTCCCAGCACTCCTTCCCACAAAGCCTGAACCTGAAACCCCCACCCTAGTCCCCGCCAGACCCCTCCCCCTCCCGCCGAAGGCTGGGTATCGGTTCCATTGCTCATGACTCTGCCCAAAAGGAAACAAACGGAAAGGTTCTTGAGGCTGGAACATTCCACCGCCTTCCAGATGGTCCCCAGCTTTGCCAGATACCCCATAACGGGGGGAAGGGGTTCTGTCAAGGGAGTCTGCAAGCAGAGACTGGAGGTGTTGGCAAGACTTTGGGGAGACTGTGAGGTCCAGGCGAGCACATTAAGGGGGTCTTATATACCAGGCACGCTTATCGGCTCAGCATCTCTGTCCGTCAACCTCCAAACCCCTTAGCTCGCTCTTTCCTCAGCCTTTCCTCTTTGGTAGCTTTGACCACTCCAGGCCACGGAGCAGTGGTCCCCAAGACCCAGTGCCCAGACAAGCCCATGCCGAGGGATCTCTCAGAGCTCCTCACAGGCTGGAAAAAGTCTGCAGTTCCCTCCCCGGAGTCAGAGCGGGAGGGCTGGTGAGTCACTGGGCGTGTAGCTATCACCCCAGCCACATGCGGCCTTGGAAAATGCCTGTTCTCAGCCCGGCCCCCCTCCCTGGGCTCTGCCTTTTCTCTGGGGATTTCTGGAGACTTCTCCCCAGCCGGTCCCATCTCTTCCTCCCATGGCTGCTGCTCTACAGCGGTCACCAAGGGAGAAGACCAAGGGCCACAGGCCCTGGGCAAGAGTCCAGGCTCCCTTCCGACCCCTGGGCTCATCCCAGTCGAGGTACCGTGCTGTCGTGAGCCTCAGTTTTCTCCAATGTGGAGGAGGTTGTACCAGATGAACTCAGAAGGTCCTTCCAATGTGGAGCGTGCTTTGCCCAGGATTGAGAAGGGAGCTCCGGAGTTTTCCAGGAGCTCAGAGAAGTAGGGGGCTGGGAAGGGCAGAGGGGGTGGGTTGGCTTGATGCCTTGTTGGGGTCTTGGCCACAGCCGGTGCCGAAACATAAACCATGACTACCAGACCCTGGCCTTCAGCAGCCCGGGCAGGGTGGACCAGCGCCTGTGGTGCTCTGTGCGGCCCATGGCTTCAGGGACGCCTTGGAGCCAGCTTCTCTGGGTCTCCTGGCAGGGCCTGGCTGTGGGATATAGCTGACCCCCATCTCTTCAGGGAAGAGAGAGAACAAGGCTGCTCGAGGTAGAAACGGCTCGCACAGGGTATGCACAGGGAAGGGATTTGAGGCTGCTGGGGATACTGGCGACCGGGGGGGCCCTGGGAGCAGGGCTGGGGCACATAGCCCAGAGGGTCTCCTGCCCACCAGTGTGTCCTGAGACACAGGATTGGTCTGCGTGGCAGAGTGCAGGGGGAGGGGACGCTGGGCTGAGCCCGCCTCTCCTACCCCACTCCTCTCCCACCCCACCCCGCCCCACCGTGCCTGGAGCCCCCTCTGCTGCCCAGCAGCACTTGCCTTACTCCGGCTGCCTGGATGGGCCTCCCAGGAACAGTTCCCCACCATCTCCAGGCCTGGCGAGTCCAGACTTCTCACGGCTCTGCTCGCGGTGTGCCGGCCCGCACGCTTCTCCTGGCAAAGGCAGAAGGGGTGGCCTCAGGGCAGCCGTGTCCCCCACCCCCCTAGGAGGCCCCACCACCTTCCAGGCCCCCCTCCCGCCCCAGCCCCCACAGCTGTCTCCTTAGAGGAAAGGCCAGCAAGCAAGCACCTGGCTGCCTCAGAGGTGGGCTCTGCGGGGACACAGGACAGTCCTGCGGGGTCCAGGGCCGGTCATGTCTGCACACACTGCCCCCTCCTGCTCGGGCTCCGCGTTCACGCCTTTGTCACAGCCAAGATGCTCATTGTTGCTTGCTGGGGGAGAAGCCTCTCGCCTCATCCCTTCTTGCTTGGTATGTGTGATTTCTGAAGCCAGGTGGCTTTTGGGGACAGGCAGTTATGCCCACACGCATTGGCCTTGCACGTCCTTTGTGCCAGCCCACGGGGGCTCAGGGCTTCCCGGCAGGCAGTCCCAGCCACAGTCTCCTCCTCTCCAGGAGACCTGGAGGAGCTGGCTCTGAGGCGTCCCTGAAGCCATGGGCCGCACAGAGCACCACAGGCGCTGGGCCACCCTGCCCGGGCTGCTGAAGGCCAGGGTCTGGTAGTCATGGTTTACGTTTCGGCACCGGCTGTGGCCAAGACCCCAACAAGGCATCAAGCCAACCCACCCCTTCTGCCCTTCCCAGCCCCTTACTTCTCTGAGCTCCTGGAAAACTCCGGAGCTTCCTTCTCAATCCTGGGCAAAGCTACGGTGCAGGGTCTTCCCACAGTAGGTGACTGCAAGGCAGGACAGCCTGGTCAGCCATCAGCATCACTGACCCCACCATCACCCCTGGGACAGCGACTCCCAGCCAGGAGCTGGACACCACGCCAGCCAGCCAATGGCTATCGCTCCCCGTGGTCCTCGTTACCGGCTAGGAGGCAGGAATCATCGTTCCCCTATGGCGGGAACTCCGAGGCTCAGGGAGGTGCAGCCACGTGCCCAGGGGTCCCATCGGTAACACCTGTGCCCACTGTAGCCCGGGAGATTTGTGTGTCATTGAGCCCCGAGGGGCTGCAGAGGAAGAACAGGTGGAGGGAGCTGGCCGGGAGAGCCCCGAAGCGGCCCTGGCCCCAGGCCGGAGGACGGGCAGCTGTACTCAGCGGTGGCCCCAGGTCAGGAGGCCTGGAAGGGGTGACAGCCCACGGAGGGGGGCATCCCTGCCTGACGGAGATAGCTCCATCCTGGCCAGGCAGAGCTTCTGGGTCCACGTGCCCCAGGCCCCCTTTGAATGGACTCCTGCTCCCCAGTTTGAGCCCTGCCCCAGCAGACAAGCACGGAGCTGTCCCACTGTGTGGGTGGAGAGGTTGAGGCCGAGCTGTAGGCCCCTGGCCATGCCCTCCTCCCCAGAGGGAACGCTGGGCTGCTCGGCCAGCATCCCCCGGAAGATCTTCCTGGCCCGCCATGGCATGTGTCCTTCCACTCCCGAGCCAACAGGGGACCCAGGCAGGTGCGCCTGTCATCTGGCGGGGAAGGGTGGCCAATGGCGGCCTGCGGCCCCTGTCTTGGACAGTGCGGCCATGTGCCCCGTGGTGTGGGCAAGTGTGTATGTGTGCCTGGCGTGTGGGTCACAGCGTGGCATGCGGTGACAGCAGGGCGGGAGCCCTTGCACTCCGGAGGATGTGGACGTGTCCGGTGCGTGCCACTGAGTATGCATCTAGAGCCCCACACCCCCTCCAGCCCGGCCACTGGCCTAGCTGCCTTGGACAGGCCTTCCCCGCACGCTGGGGCTTGCCCAAGCTCTCCCTGCCCGCAGGCTACCGGCTTCGCCCCCGTCCTTGCTGGTTCCTTTGCCCCCACTCACAGTGCTCCCAGTATCCCTGATTGTATGCCACCCCTGGGCCTGGGCCTCGCGGATGTCCTGGCTGCCAGCCTTGTCCTTTCACCTCAGCCAGGTAGACCCCCTGCCGATACCCGGATGCCCTCCAAGGGTGGCCAGCTGGGTCCAGGCACGAAGTAAGGGCCCCCAGCTCACCTCTGCCGGTCGCTTCCATGGTGGGTGTCCCTAGTGTGTCTCTGAGCTTTTCTCCTGCCTTGCCTGGGGCAGTCCAAAGGGCTCGTGCCCCCTGCAGAGAACTAGAAGCCAAGGGAGCCCAGAAGGGCTTTGAGAAGATACGTGTGTGACGTGTGTGTGTGGCATGTGTGTGAGCATGGGTGAGTGTGTGTGCTCCTCGGGCTGGGATCCGGCTTCTGCTACAGCAGAGGGGAAGGCTGCCGGCTCCGTGCACTTCTGACCCTCCCTTCCAAGCGCCAGGCCTCCGACGGCTCTGGCCACCTGTCCACTTCCTCTCCTTTCAGCCCACCTCCCGCAACCCAGCCCCACATTTGCCGGGGACAGGTGAGGCTGTCCTCCGGAAGGCCCAGGTGGGCATAGCCAGATTGCAAGCCCCCAACCCATCTTCCCAGCCCCTCTCTTCCCAGCTGTCGCTGGCTGCCTCCCACCACAGGGAGGCTGCATTTCTGTTCCAGGGCCGGGGACCCCTGCTCATGGCTCAGCTGGAGGAGGCTAATCTGGGGACACCAGGGGCCATCTGTTGGGGACAGGATGGGGTACAGCTGCTCCGCCTTCTGTGCCCAAGCTCAGTGCCGCTGAAGGGGGGCCGTGCAGTGAGCTCGCTGGCGGACATGGGAGAGCCATCTCTCTGCGCTTGGGACGCGGCCGGCTGGGTGTTCCCTTCCCGCCCTTCCAGAAAGCAGACTTGGATGGCTGGCGTGGGTGGGGTAGGGACAGAGCAGGACCCCCCACCCCCAGCCAGGAAGACCGAGCAGGAGTTGGAAGTAGAGGACAGTGTGGGGGTCGGGCACTGCCACCCGGGACAGGGACTCTCAGAGCCACGGGAGTGTGCCCGAGTCCTCTCTGGAGCCTCAGGGTTCCTACTCGGAGCCACGTGATGTCTGGGGGCCGAGTGCCCTGACAGCACCCACCTCATTCTCCCTCCCTGCCTGGCCTTCACCCTGCAGCCCTGGTAGCCAGAAAGCCCTCCCCTGGGCCGCGGTCCGCCCGCCCCCAGCACAGCTACCTGCAGCTGTCCTGACCTTCCGAGGTCTTTCCTTCTCGGAGCACGACACTCGCCTCTGGCCGCGGATCCCCGGGGCAGCAGGCCAGCTCAGAGCACGGCCTGGAGCCTCGGAAAAGGCGAGCTCAGAGTCGAGGACAGCCCTTGCCTGCCTGCCTGCCTGCGGAGGAGATGGCTTGGGGAGCAGAACCCGCCCCAAACCCAATTCCAGGCCTGGAGGGAGGGGGAAGGGGAGGAGGAGGGGAGGAGGGGCTGAGCCAGAGCTGGGATGAAGCTTCAGGAAGGAATGCCCCGCTCAGGAGCCCCCCCTCGCTCCCCCCTCAGCCTTACTGGGAACTCATCTCCCTGCCTGGTGACGTCATGTTGGCAGGAGCACTGCTGCCGGAGTCCAGCTGTTCCTCTCCTCCATCCTGCAGCTCCGCGGGGCTGCCCTGGAGAAAGCTCAGGGCTGTGCCCTTGCTTGGTTCCTTCCTTCTGCTCCCGCTGGGCATTTTGGGGCATGCAGCCCCGGGAGGGGCAAGTCCCCTCGTATTCAGGGCCTGATACAGAGAAGCCAGGAGGTAGTGATGCGAGGGCTCCCTGGAGAGAGAGTTGTAGGCACTTTTGCGGGGTAGGCTGAGCAGCAGGACAGCGGAGCCACCCGGGGGCCACCCCATCCCCCTTCCCACTTGGAATCTGCCAAGGGCGCCCTGCTGGTGTATGGAACTGGGAACCCCCTTTCCCTGGCCCTAATAGCAATCAGATGGCGCAAGCGGAAAAATCACAGCACTTGACTGGGGATGGGGGGGTGCGGGTGGCGGGCTGTGCGGCCTGCTCCGAGGGGGATGAGTCAGGCTTCCCCCCACCCTTTGAGCCTTCTCAGGGTCCTGGGGCAGTGAGCCAAAGCCTGAGGGGGGAATGCAGGAGTCCCAGGGTGGCTGTGAGGTCGGGGGTGGTGCAGAGTGGTTTCCTAGGGAGCCGCGCAGGAAGGCCCCGGCCCCTTGCCCTGCACCAACTTTCTCATGCCCCCGGGAGCCCAAGGGAATTCCCCGAAGTGCTTTCCCTGTGGGAGCAAATGGTGCCCAGCTTGGGGTGGGGTGGGCATCTGGAAGAGGACCCAGAAATAGAGCTTCCCTTGCACCTGCCCTGGGAGCTCCAGGCCTCCAGCCCCTGGAGGAACCCATGTCCCTGCCCAAGTGCCAATCGCAGAGTGGATTTGTTCCCCACAGAGTCCAGCAGGTCCTCTGGGGCCTTTGTTTTAAGCAGAGCTCGAGGGGAGGGCTCTAGGACACTGAAGCTTTTGGCCACGCCCAGGATGAGAGGGAGGCTGGGCAGGGAGCGGGCGGTGACCCTCCCTCCTCTCCAGGGCAGGCCAGCTGGGGCCCAGCTGGGCTGCTTGTTTACGTGGGGAGGTGGGGGTGGGGGAGGCTGGGGGAGGCCAAATCCAGGCAAGTTCCAAGTGTAATTGCATTTGGACACTTAAAAGGAATCGTGTGAAGGCAGCAGCTCTGAGGTCCACGCCTTATTTGGTCTGGAAATTGTTTCTTTCAAAACTAAGGAGAGGTGCTTGTAAATGGGAATGCCATCCTTGGGCTGAGTTTGCTGGGGTCCCCTCGCCACCCAGTGTCCCCAGCTGGTGTCCCCACGTGGAGCAGCATGTCAGGGCCGTGGGGGACAGGTCTGGAGGCCGGGGTCCTGCAGGGACAGTGAGAGAGCCCCCAGCTGGGCTTGCACCGAAACCTTGGCCTCAGGCTCTGTGTGTGGGCCTGGCGGCACTCACCCATTCATGCCCGCCCTCCTGCCACAAAGTGGACCGTGCTGAGGTGACACAGCCATGATCCCTGCTCTCTCACATCCTGTCCTCACGCTCTGAGCCGCTCCCACCCTGCCCTTTTTCTAGTAGAGAGGAACTTTATTTTTAATGGTCCCCTGCCACGGGTCCCACCACACCCTACCCTACGCCCCCTCCCGGGGGTGCAGGCCAGGACCCTCCTCTGTTGGGGTCCCTAGGGGCAGGAGGTGGGTTCTGGCAGGGCTAGCTCACGACATCACCCATCTGGGGTCCCCCATTGCCCAGCTGCTCCTGGATGAAGGGCGGGGTGTGGAACAGCCTGTGGCTCCTCCTGTGGTCCCTCCAACCCCGGGAGGTTGCCCAGCCCCCAACGGAATATTCTGCCCCCGCAGATATTTACTGAGCATATGCTAAGTGCCAGGCACTGGGGCCCAGGCTGATGAACCGGCCAGTCTGTGCCCTCAGGGAATAGAAGTGAGGCAGGGCGGCTCAGAGTAGATGACCCAAACACGTGTAAAAGCACACCTGGACAGGGGGCCAAGTAGATCAGGATGGTTTCTTTGAGGAGTGGACAATGGAGCCCATGGGAATGTCGGGCAGGGATGACTCCGGTGAGAATGGGAAGGGAGGCATCCCTAGCAGAGAAAATGGCACGAGCAAAGGCCCTGGGGTAGGGAGGCATGCGGCACAGATGAGTTGGGGTAGATGAGACCCCAGCTGCCAGGCAGCTGTGAATAGCCCCTCTGGGCCCAGGACCTGGCCCTCCTTGTGCTGACTTCACTTTTCTGCTGCCATTTGTGCCATGTGCTTGGAGGACAGGTGCAGGGCTGACTGACAACCACAGCTGCCCCCTCCTGCATCCTGTGAGCCAGGGCCTGCCTCAGTTCCATCATTCAGTCCTCATGGCATCTGCTGTTTTACAGATTCATTCAGCGTGTACCTCCTGAGCACCTACTGTGTGCCAGGCACTGTGCTAGGCTCTGGGAATCCACTGATGAATGAGACAGATAGTGATCCCTGCCTGCAAGGTGCCCAGGCCGTGGAAGTGAGGAAACTGAGACCCAGGGAGCAGCTCTGTGTTTCCCTCGGGCCCCCACATCCCCACTGCAGGGCCTGAGCCAGGGGCGGGTTCTGCCTCTGCATGCCCAGTACTGCGTGGGAAGGTGTTGGGATAGATGAGGAGAGATCCAGAGCCCTAGGATCTAGTCCTGGCTTTGCTTCTGATGAACCGAGGAAACTGGGCCTCAGTTTCCCCAGTTGTCCCATGGAGTGGAGGGGGCAGGGACCAGTTGATACCTTGCTCTGTGCCCCATGCTCACCCTTCACTTCAGCTCTTGAGGCTGGTTCTTTTTCCACAGAGGGCTACTGAGGTACATTTCACATACCAAACAGTTCACTTCTCTAAAGCACACAGTGGTTTTAGTACCTTCACAAAGTTGTGCAGCTATCACCACAGTCTCCTTCGGGAACATTCTGTCACCCTCAAAAGAAACCTGGTACCCATGAGCAGTCACTCCACATCCCCCTCCCCAGCCCCTGGTGACCAGGCATCTACTGTCTGTTTGCGGGGATTTGCGTGTTTTGGACATTTCATAGAAGTGGAATCACACACTTAGTGGCCTTTTGTATCTTATTTATTCCATTCAGTAAAAGTCTTCAAGGTTCATCCGCTTTGGGGGCACGTGCCAGTGCTGTGTCGCTTCTTATGGTCATAGGCTGGTTCCTTAGGGCCATGTGCTCTAGGACCTGTTCTCTTCCACTTGACTAAGGTCCTCCAAGAGACAAGGCCAGTGTAGACTTGGTCTGCATCTCCTAGGTTAACCCCCTTGCCCTTTTGGTTTCAGTTCTGGAGATTAAAAAAAAAGGTCTCTCTGAGGTCTAGGTGGCTTTCCTGATGGGCAAGGGTGAGTGGGTTCCCCTCCTCCACTCTCCCCCTTCTCCAGCCAGGCGGACTATCAGTGATGGAAAGTGCATCTCGGGAATCTATGCAGAAGCCTACATTCTCCTTTGTCCTGCATGTGGGAAATTATTCATTTCTTCATTTATGCATTTGTTCATCCGTCTATCCATCCATCCACCCACCATCCATCTATCCATCCATCCACTCACCCACCTATGCACCCACCCACCCATCTACCCATCCACCCATCATCCATCCATTCTTATCTACATTTAACACATATTTACTGAACACCAACAATGGTGCTGGGAAGAAATAGTGGATAAATCAGAACAGGAGGAGGGGAAGGGCTCATAAAAGAAACAATTGAACACAGAAATTCCGAGTGAGATCCATGCAGTGCAGAGAATGAACAAGGATGGTGATAGAGAATGATGTGGTGAGAGGGTGGGGAGATGTAATTAATGTAAGCCTAAAATATTGACATCCTAATACCCAGGTCTGACAGTTAGTGACCTTACGAAGCAAAAGAGACTTTGCAGAGGTGATAAAGCTAAGGATCTTGAGATGGGAGAGAATCCTGGATCATCTGGGTGAGACCGTGTGGTGACAAGGTCTCTATAAGACGGAGGCAGGAGGCTCAGAGTGATGTGTGATCACTGGGGTTGGTGGGGGAGATGAGGTGGGAGGTGTGATGACCGGGATCAGTGGGGAGAATCATCATTAGTGATGACTAATGAACAAGATCGGAGGAATATGAAAAGGAACCTTGAGCTAAAGAATGCAGGTAGCTCCTAGAGGTTGTAAAAGACAAGGAAATGGGGTCTCCTGTAGGTGCTCCAGAAGGGACAGGCCCTGCTTCCTCCTTGGTTTTAGGTTTCTGATCTCTGGAACTAAAGAGAATAAATGTTTGTTGTTTTAAGCCCCTGGGTTTGTGGTCCTTTCTTGCCGTAGCCATCCAGAAGTAATACAGGTGGTAGGCAGCACTTCTGAGCAAGTTCAGTGCCTTGGAAGCTCTTTCTGCTTGAGTGAGACCTGCAGCATCCAGGATGAGAACAGCAGGTGCAAAGGCCCTGAGGTAGTAAGGATTTGGTGTATTAGCAGAACAGAAAGGGCGACTGGAAGGCAAGAGTGTGAAGGTGTGTGCGATGAGGCTGGGGAGGTGGGTGCTGCCTCCAGCCCCCTGCCAGCCCAGGTGAAGAGCTGCCTCCTGGAGCCCAAGGTCAGGATGCTTGTGGGCACAGCATCTTGGCCAGTTTCCCATCTTTCCAGTTGGATACTTTCTACCTAGTTTCCAATTCCTCACTTCCCTAAGGCCCAGAAATTTCCCAGCTTTGCACTTCTCTCCCTCCCCATGGCCTGGACTCGGGGCAGGATTCTGGAAACTCTGGTCTGGCCTCCCTGTGATTCTCCTCCACTTTAACTATACTTAAAATTTTGGGACAGTGTAAGCAGTTGACTTGGGTCATGATCTCAGGAAGCACTGCAAGGCAGTGGAGAAGCAAGCCGAGGAGGAAAGGAGTCATGAGAAGACCCCACCTTGTTCGAGGGGGTCTAGTCTTCAGCT